CGGAATAGCAGCTTCCCATTAGTTTCTATGGACGGAAAAGAGCAGATACGGATCAAATGGTTTTCAATGCATTCCTATGGGAAATGCAGATTTGACCTGAGAACCTTTTGACTTGAGAACCGCCTTCCAATACGGATTAAGTTCTCAAGTCAAGACCCCACTGTATTGGGGTAAATAAAAAATACAGAATGTGATAGAGTACAGTATACGGTGGTGCTTCGCTTAACGATGATAATCCGTTCCAGGAAAATCGCCATTAAGCGAAAACATCGTAAAGTGAAAATAAAAACCCCATTGAAACGCATTGAAACCTGTTCAATGCGTTCCAATGGGGTAAAAACTCACAGTCCACTGAAGATCCTCCATACAGTGGCCTTTTTCGCTGCCTGTATAGTGAGGAATCCGTCCCTAAACACAGCAGGGAGCCATTTTAATCACCCGGTGGCCATTTTGAAACTGCTGATCAGCTGTTCAAAAACCGTTGTTTTGCGAAGAATCGGTTCCCGAAGCAGGGAACCAATCATCGCAAAGCGAAATTCCCCCATTTAGACCATTGTTTTGCGATCGCAATTGCGATCGCAAAACGATTGTCGTAACGCGGGGCAATCGTAAAGTGAGGCACCACTGTACAGTGGGGTCTTGACTTCAGAACTTAATCCATATTGGAAGGCGTTTCTCAAGTCAAAAAGTTTGCAGGTCAAATCTGCATTTCCCATAGGAATGCATTGAAAACCATTTGATCCGTATCTGCTCTTTTCTGTCCATAGAAACTAATGGGAAGCTGCTATTCTGCCTTCGACCACTAGAGGGGGATATTTTGTTTCTTTTTTTCTTAGGTCAAGAAAGGTTCAGGGAAGGCAGGGAAAATACAGTCCAGGCAGTACCAGGCAGTCTGAAGACTGTCTCCCAATCCACTCTCTAAACACTGGGAGGAGTGAGGAAGCAGACAGGCACCCTTTTCACTGGCCAACAGTTAACTGAAAGTTCAAATTTTGCACTTTCCCTGCCTCCCACGTGGTTTTTTTTCAGTTTGTAACTCAAATCTAAGTATGTAAGTCAAGTCAATATTTTCCTATGAGAGTGGTTCTTAAGTCAAAATGTTCTTAACTCGAGCCGTTCTTAAGTCAAGACCCCACTGTATTACTAAATGAATATGAAGTAATACATCTCTGAGAAGAATCATCATCAGTACATCTTAGAATGGAATTGGGAACTATGCAAACCATGAGCTACATGCAGCTCACAAAGGCCTTCTATGCAGCCTCAATATTGTCCAAGACTCATCCTCTTCAAAAGCTTTGGTAAAGTGGTTTTTTTAAAAAGGTAAAAATGTCCAAGAAATTAACGAAGTCGATGCAGCTAGTCAAAGATACTTGTGATCAAAGCTGAAACCAAGACATCCAAAGTCAGGGTCCATTCCAGAAGCATACACTTGAATGTTCAAAGGGGGTGCTATCCTATGTAACACAAGTTGAACCTTCCCCACCCCCAGTTTTGAGTCAGTTGTACTTTGAACACCTGCTGCCTGAATTCATTTTCAGTTTGCCAGACCATTTCCTTTTCTAGGCAGTTGTTCAAGGCTTTGACAGTCTCCTTCCCCAGAGAAGAAAAGGACAACGTGTTTGATAAAATCTACATACTGGCAACACCGTATCTCTAAATCCTTATTCTCAACATCAGCCACATATGTGGATTATCCATATCATCCAGAGGCGACTACAAATGGAAGAAACATCTCATTATGCTTACCAGGTAAAATATTAATCTGACTTTAGTCAATGTTTGGCTTCTTATACCAAGTGAATAAATCAAATTATAACCTTTAACTTGTGCTAGAGGCTGCTATGTCTTTTTTCTCCCCATCCCCATAGACCAAAAGAAACTTGATGTTTCAAGCAGTCAGTGTGAGTGTAATTGTGTAAGGGGCAACCACAGAGTAATTGGCACAGCGGGGTATAAAAATTCCAAATCATCTTGCAAGGATGCTTGAGAGACAGCCTCCGGAGGACTGTCAGAGACATATACCATCAATTTTTGGACTTTGTCTACAATTTTTCTGCACTATCAACAAGGGGACTGTACTCAGCTTGATGAAGTGGAATTTTCTCCACAAAAGCTTGCCATTTGTTTGAATACTTTAGTGCTCCAATAAAAGGTATCACCTGCTGTTTCATTTGTGTAATCTTGGGGAGCACACAGCTTTTTCTTTGCTACCTCTCATGGTATCATATACGTGTTAAAAAGCACAAGCAATAAGACAGAACGTGACAGACTTTACAGATCAAGATCAAAGTGAGGAACGGGGATTATCCTTCCGAAGCACCTTCTGAAATCAATCATTTTAACACTCTGCTCCTAAATCACATTCTTTGAGACACTCAAGAAAGATACTGTAACTGATAGTATAAAAAGCCACCAGGAGTTCCAACTGAACCAAAAAGACCACTCAGTTCTTTGTGTATAGCATCCAAGGTTGTGCCAAAATTCAATCTGAAGTCCATCCCAAGAAGCAGGGGTATTTTAATTTTGTGGCTGCTGAAAAAAAACACACACACACACACACACCATGGCACTGGGAAGGGATGACACACTTATACCACTTACCCAATAATAGCATACTAGAGAAGACAGAAATTCTTTAGTACAGTTGGAATAAGGGATTTTCAATAACATCTTGCAAACATGCACGTACAACAACTATCAACAATGAATTGTGTGCCAATCTCACTTTATTATTGTTGTTTAATCATTAAGTTGTGTCCGACTCTTTGTGATTCCATGGACCAGAGCACGCCAGGCCCTCCGATCTTCCACTGCTTCCCGGAGTTGTGTCAAATTCATGTTGGTTGCTTCGATGACAATGTCCAACCATCTCATCCTCTGTCGTCCCCTTCTCCTCTTACCTTCACA